GGTACATATTCATCTGTGTAAAAGAGAGTCTTTTTCTTTTTTCTTTCCAAGAGTCCATGGGTCATACGAAGCCTTGAAGGGAGGCAACACCACCGAAGCCATGGAGGACTTCACCGGAGGAGTCACAGAGTTCTATGAGATAAAGGATGCCCCTAAAGATATCTATAAAATCATGAAACATGCCAGTGACAGAGGATCCCTCATGGCCAGCTCCATTGATGTGAGTCCATATCAACTTTGCAGATAAGCCATAAGAAGTGGCAGTGGTGAGGGACCTTTTCATTTGTAATCAATTACATGCCACCTTTGGAACTGCTTGGCTTAGGCTACATAGAAAACATCCATTTCTGGTACATGATGTAATCTCCACTAGAGACCACCGTTAGGAAACAGCTAGTGCCAAAAGGGAAATAAACAGAAGCAGAACATGGAGGTGGAGAAAAGGGGTGCAATCAGCAAAACCAGCAACCTCCAACCTCAGTACCCCTGCCTAGTGAAACAAGGTTAGTGTGGAGGTGTTGCAACTCTGTAAAGACACAGATCTTCATGTCAAAGATGCTAAGTGTGCAAACACTTAGGAAATTAACCTTTTATTGCCACATGACCTCAGATTTTCTTCATTCGGTGTGATAAAAAATTGATTCTAATTCAAAAGTAAAAGGTTAATACTTTCTGGAGTATCATGTTGCAGTAAAGGTGGAAGAACAAATGGTGCTGTCAACCACTGTAGATAAGTATGGACATAATGAGGGAGAAGTCATCTAGGCTCCCTTTTACTACTCATCTTTCTTTTATCATTTCTCTTCTCTCTTCCTGCCTCATCTTTCTTCATCACACTTTTCTCCCATTCTCTGTGCCAGGATAACCTAGGCTTTTCCTATGGAGCAGCTCCTGGGAGCAGCATTGGGGAACAGATTGCTCGCATGGTGAAGAATCTAGAAAATGCACAGATGGCTCACTCCACTGCAGACTACCAGGGGACGGATGAGAGGCCAGCCTGGGTTCGTATGCCTCCAGAAGCAGTTGACTTCACAGTGCTTTTGTTTACAGACAGTTAGAGAAACATATCACTTCTAAATCCTTATTTGGCTTCATGGAATTGTCCCAACATTAAAGAAATGTTCTTATGGATACTGTTTGACATATGTGTTAAAGGACTTCAGTGCTTTCAAACACAGTGACTGATACTAGAGGGTTTCTATGATACTGAGGCAAAGGGTTGTTGGCTTGTGGCACAGGCTTATAATTTCCAGAATAAGAAATTTATTAGTAGATTTTATTAATTCTCTCATTTGCCAAGGGTGGGGAGAGCAAAAAAATTAAAATACTAGAATAGAACAAGATCCCTGAGTGTGTGTGGAATGTGAAAGAAAGAAAAGGCAAGCTCTGCACAGCTCTCACTCCAGGCACACAAGCCCCTGGTGAACTTATTTTGAGACAGCTCTGCCCACAAATGGAAGACAGTCTGCTCTAGGGATGCTCCTTTTAGATTACTGACATTTACAAAGTAAATACAAAGTAAATACAAAGTAAATCCTGCATACTTAAGTATCTAGAAAAAATAAAAGAGAGAGATTTTAAAACTATTTAAGAAAAATCCCATATTGAATAACATAAAAGCTTTCCCATATGTAGAGGGACACGTTGCCCTCTCCTCTCTGTCAGGCAGCTGTCTTGCCTTGCCCTTTAGGGAAGCTGCATTTCCATGACAATGAAATTGCATCTCTTGCTTTACAGAGAAAAAAGTAAACCAAATGAAACAAAAATCCTCCAAAATTACATCACCTAAAGTTTGTGATTGTGGAAACTTTCTTCTGCATTTGCAACTGAAATAGTTGATTTTTCCTCTTTTGACATCCATATATAGTTCTTCATTATAGACTGAAATGGTGTAATTCTTCAGGAAAGCCCAGCATGACTGTGTTGTTTTGCAAGCATGAGTGCCCAAATCACCCACATCTGTGGGGGTAATTTCCTCCCCAGTGACTGTCTACTGAAAGAAGGTTGCAAAACTCTTTCCATAGTTGATGCCCCAGCAGCCTTTGTGCTGCTGGTTATTACATATTCCTGAGCCATCACTAGATAAAAAATTATGACTCTCGATAGAAAGGGTGGGATGAAGCATTTCCAAAGCCTACACTTGGAGAAGTGTCCCAGGGCACCAGCAGAAGTTAATATTCTTAATCAGAAAGAAAAGAGAAAGGGATTCTGACAAGTAATGATGGGAATAACATGAGTAGAAATGAAGAAAAAAGGAAATAGATGTGAGGTTGTAGGCATAAATGTATGAAAACAGGATTAAGTCTGAAAAAAAAAAAGAAACAGGAGCAGAAGTCAAATGATGGAAAATAAGTGCAACAGCCAGGAAATCTTTGGATGAGATCCTCCCTGTGCAAGCTGAGAACATATCTGTGTGACCTTAGTAATTCTCCCTCCGTTTCCAGCTCTGCCTTTCTCATGCTCTCAGATGTGCTAAGAAGGGATGGCAGAGTTACTGGCAGGGCCTTGCAGTCACCTCTCAGCAATAGACATAACATATGATGGGAAGTTTCGCACATGGACCAAGTGCACACAGCAGGGCCTTCCCCTCCCACCGATATCAGTCATTTCTCCTACAAGCACAGCAGGCTGTGTGCATCTGCCATCCTGCTCTCAATTCTCTATCTCCCAGATAAACTGCATTCTGAGGTTTGCAAGCAAAAATCCATCAGACATGCTATAAGTTGATTACAAAGACAACAAACGTATTTACATCTGAGCAACATACCTATTTTGCCCTTCCTGAATGTCAGTTGGGAAAAAATAATCAATTGGGACGATTTTAACAATTATGCAATAAAAGGTTGTGGCCACCTTTGCCACAATTATTCCAGTGGAATAATTTCCACTGGAAATTAATTTTTAAAATACTGTAAGTTTGTAGGAACAGTATACTAAACGGGATGTTTTAATGTCATTGTGATAAGATAGCAGCCATGTGTAAAGATGAAAGTATTCTAGGTGTTGATTTGCTCTGTTTTCAGTTCATATCTAGTAACCTTACTGAGCCATACAAGAACATGCCATCCCAGGAAGGGCTGAATAGTCCTACTAATAGAAAATCTAATTATTTTGATTAAGCATGCTATATACTACCATGTTTTGAGTGCAAAAAGGAGTAGCCTACAGAAAAGGGAAAAAAAACCCTTTCCAATTGATGTTACTAACTTTTTCCATTTTTAGTCCATGCTTCATTCTTTTCTAACCAATAACATGAATTCTGTGGACACTAAGCATGACCATCTTGGCAAACACAAAGAGAAGAAAGCAAACACCTGAATGGTGTCATCCTCCCTCAAAAGGCCTGGGTGGCAATACCTGCCTTAGAGCAGCCAGCTGAGCTTTGCATGAGTCCCACAAGTTTTTATCTTGTGTCTAACAGACCATAGTGCCAATGCAGTATGAAACCCGGATGTCTTGCGGGCTCGTCAAAGGTCATGCCTACTCTGTGACGGCCGTGGAAGAGGTATGTACAGTCCCTTTCCTCCACCTACAGGGAGCTGTAGTCTACACTGGCCTAGTACCATGCATGTCAGCAAAGCTCTGAGAGGGTAAAAAGCAATATAAGATGGAGATAAGGAAACAAAATTTATGTTCAAATAAGTGAAAACCTCATTAAGAAACAAACCTGACCAAGTTTTGACTTTCTGGGGAAATGGGTATTCCATCACTTGGGCAAAGGTGGTCACAACCAGCCACCTCCTGGTCCTACAGCCTTGAACCCATACTCACCCCACACAGGTCAGGCTGCACTACAGCCCAGGAAAGCACCATCACTGCAGGAGCTGGTATCAGTGAGCTGACATTTCCTTTCGAATCTACTCTCACTATTCTTCTACCATTCTTTCTCAATTAGACAGTATTTAAAGGGGAAAAAATACGTCTGGTGAGGCTGAGAAACCCCTGGGGGCAGGTGGAATGGAATGGACCTTGGAGTGACAAGTGAGTAAAATGGAGCTTCACATGATTTGAAAAAATAAAGATAGAAATTGCAGGTTTATTTTCCCTCATGCAGCTTGTGCATGACCCTAACATTCGGTGATGAGGTATCTGAATTTTTTTGTGCTCATTTTGACAGATGCACTTAGTAGTTGATTGCAGTTGAGTGCTTAGCTGAAGCCGAAAAAGAAGAAAGTACCTAAAAGCAATGTTAAGATGGGCTTTACTCAATGGAAATGGAGAGTCCAGTCTACAAGATGTGACAGTTGAAAAATCTTTTAAGTTATGAAAGAACTGAGTAAAGCAAGATGTCAGTGTGTTTTGCTACTCCAGTAATGATAGTCTGCTAACACCTTTTTCATCAAGCTAAATAAAAGTATCACAGTTCAACAGATGTTTGAGAGCTGCTAAGAGGAAGTCTGAAGGAAAGGCAGAGAGAAATAGGACAATTTCTTTTTTTATCTGAGCATGTGAAGAGTAGGATACCATTGAGAACAAACGGTGGCAAGGCTCACAAAGGAAAAATTATATGGATGTAGCAAGATAACTCTTGACTTTTCACTCTATGAGGCTTACAAGTGTAGAAATTTTAATGAAAACTGCATTGCAAATTTTAATATAACTTGTTTACTTCTTTGAAGGTCAGAGGAGTGGAACTCCGTTAATGAAGAAGAGAAGATTCGCCTGCAGCACAAGGTCGTGGAGGATGGGGAGTTCTGGTGAGAATATCAGTTAAAAACCTTTGCTTCTTTAAGAGATATGCAACCATTGCAAAAACTAATCACACTGTACTGCTACAAATCTGCCAAAGCCATTGCAGTGATCCCTGTTCGCCCTCTTATTCCCGATAAGCCCTGCTCTGTGATCCCCTCATTCTCCCACCAGGGAAGATTATTCAGTGCCAATAGCACAGTCTTTCTTGCTATGCTACACTTCCATGAGCTCTCCATCACACTTCTTATGTACCATACTTTCAGCTCAGTTTCCCAGAGTTTGGAGCTGCACCTGTGTTAATTGACCAAGCAGCAGACAACATGCATTTGGAAAACATGGCACTCCCACCGCAAACTTGTATGAATACTGACAGTACTGTTGGTCACCCTCCTCCACCTCATCACAGTGTTTCCGACAACTGCCCACCATGTAAATCCATCTGGGTTCAATTTCCCCTCAATTCCTCCAGGATATCATTTCAAGATTTCCTGAGGCACTTCACAAAGCTTGAGATCTGTAACCTCACCCCTGATACGTTGGAAGTGGACAAATTCCAGACCTGGACTGTATCGGTCAGCGAAGGGCGCTGGGTGAGAGGCTGCTCAGCTGGAGGTTGCCGCAATTTTCCAGGTGAGCAAAGGGTCTTTGGGCTCTTTGATTGGGACTATGTTAGATCCTGTAGGCTAAGTCATACCACAGCCTGGTCAGTGCTCAGCCATAGGAAAAGCCTTGCTTCCTCAATGAACAAATCATGCAACTGGTAGCTGGAAAACTTCTGTCACTATGTTGTGACCAAACCTCATAAACCCAAAAGGCAGCCCTGACAAAGATAAATCATTGTCAAATACTTCCCAGGGCCCCAAGGTAAAGACAAAAATTTTACAGTTAGATTTCACTTGGGAAATCCACTTTCTGATAGTTCTAGGGGGGTTGGAAGTTTATCAGAGTACAGTTCTTCATTTTATATCCTCCTTTGTCTTACAGTTTTGTTAGAACTATATAACAATCATAACATGTAAAAAGAACCATGCACATCTTAGCCCAGTTTTAACCTTTCCCTCAGGAGCCACAGGCTTAAGGGAACTTAAAAGTTCACTTTGACCATGAATATCATTAGAAAACTGAAGCTTTACTGTTTTCTTTGGGTTGTTGTTGGGATTTCACAGATACATTTTGGACCAATCCTCAGTATCGCTTGAAGCTCCTGGAGGAAGATGATGATCCTGAGGATGAAGAGGTTATCTGCAGCTTTCTTGTTGCACTGATGCAGAAAAACAGGAGAAAAGAGCGCAAGCTGGGAGCCAACCTGTACACCATTGGCTTTGCCATCTATGAGGTACCAGCTCTAGATTTTGCTCTTCATACCATGATCACAAATCTTGACAGCACACACTTACCAAGAGAGTCACTGAATCATTCAGCCTTATTGCATGAATTTAAATTTTTGCATTGCAAGGAAGAGAGGGAAAACCTTTTAGAGATGAAGGAAATTCAAGTCTGTTTGTACCATAGTAACCCCAGGGTTTACCCATCAACTAAGTAACACACTTCTTACTCTTTTATAGTGACCTACTGCCTGATATTAACATATTCTTTCCCATATAGTCTTCAATCTCCCTTTTATACTTTTTGAACTAAACATCTCATTGGCAGAAGAATGTAAAAAAGGAAACAGACATCCAAGACACATACGTAGCAATTAACCTCTGTCCCTGCTATCAACTTCATGAAAAAGTCAATTTACTCAGTCCCTTGCACAAGCACATTTAGTTCAGAACTCAGCTGATCTTATGTACATCCCAAGAAACCTAGGAAGGGAAGTTGCTCATCTAAATAGGGGCATTCTATTTACTGTCTGTGTCCCCAGAAACCTAGGCAAATGCCCTTGTGTTTAGTCTATAAACAAGTGGATTCACCTAGCAGCTCTGACTGTTTCTTCTCTTTGTTTCTCCCCCAAGGTGCCTGAAGAGGTATGAGCAGAGCAGAGGCAGATTGACACGTTGGTGTATACTCACAGCTAGTGTTATTGTAGTGCCTGTCTGTAAGTCAGTAGGAAACTGTCCAGTCAAGTTTGTTTTCAGGGATGTTACAGAAGTGAAACTGCTAACCCTTCTGCTATGAGTGTTTATTAGTAACATTTTTTGAGTAATTTTTAGTTCCTTCTAACTCACACCCTGTTTTAACTTGCACTGTTCCTCAGTCCTCCTTTGCTATTCTGTCTGAGACCTGGTCATGGTTTGCACAGTCACTCAGTGGGTCTGAGTGGCAGGAAGCAGTGTCAGCAGCACTTTGCCTCTGCACTCCATGCAGAACCACTCCAAAGCACCTCCATTTCCTTCTAAAAATAATGCCAATGGCCAGCATTCTGCAGTCACAGAGTTTTCTTCATAGTCTTAGAATTTGTTTAGAAAATTAATGGCATTTTCAGCCATCGAAGAATGCTTATTGAAAGTACACAGATTACATTTTTCCTGAGCCTGACTGTGCCTGATCATTGGCACCACAAGTTTTGCAACCAGCTCACCTGAAGGTGATGTTACCTGGAAAATATGAAGATGACAGTCTGAATGTTATCTTTGCTGACTATCTTACAGGTGGTTATTTCTGCAGAAAACAGTCTGCAAGTGTCCTTAGCCCACAATTCTTGACTTAATTTTCATATTTGAACCTATGCAATATTTTATTGTCACATTTGTTTAGCAGTTACAGAATTCATATTTTGTCCAGAAGAGGACATTTTTCCACTGAAAGCACTTTCACCTTACCACACTGCATGCAGGAATTTGCATGCAGCATTCCTTACTGTGCCACACTCCAAGGAAAGCAGCTGAACTTTACAAACACCTTAGCATCCAAAACACTGGTCAGATAAAAGTGCCTACACAGCAGAAGTCAGCCACACACTCTGCAGGTGGGCCCTGGAGCAGCCCTCAGAAACAACTTAAAAACTGTATCTGCTACCAACTAGCATCACTCATCAGGTCCCTGCTTGCTAAGGGGCTGCTTTCTCTGCTTTCTGTCCCCATGGCAAGCCACCTGGGGAATGGGTAAGACTTCCTTTAAGACAAATTGAATCATTTGTTCTGCAGATGCATGGTACTAAGCACCACTTGCAGAAGGATTTTTTCCTCTACAATGCCTCCAAAGCTAGAAGTAAGACCTATATAAATATGCGAGAAATCTCTGAGCGCTTCCGGCTACCTCCCAGTGAGTATGTCATCATCCCATCAACATACGAACCCCACCAGGAGGGAGAATTCATCCTGAGGGTCTTCTCAGAGAAAAGAAGTCTTTCAGAGTAAGTTCCAGATCCATTTATCTGGCCATAAAGGTGGAGGTGAGCTCGCTAGTCTGCTAAAGTCATGTTACCGGTTTGCTACACCCTGCTTTTAGTTTTCTTAACCTCACTAGAAACTCCAAGCTGCAAACTTACCCTGTAAACCTTCCCTTATAGTCTAACAAGAACCTGCTTTGAATTCTCTTTGGAGAAGCTTACTACTTGCAGGATACCCTTCATAAACTTTAGCCATTTTTAATATAGAAAATGAACATGTTTGGGTTTTATTGCTCTGTATCACTGGCTGAAGTTTTGGCACACTAGGTGTTTGAACCAGATCTTATTTCAGTCACGAATGAAACACAGAAGTAGCTAGTTTTTTCTTTTCCATCCTGCTCTTCAGCTAGTTTTACAGAGCTCAGTAAATTGCAGACAGTGACACTTTATTTAGGCCAAATTGCTTCTGTTTTACTTCCAGTTCACTGTTATCAAGGCTCTTTACAGGAATAAACCAGGTGACAGCCCTTCTGGAAGTGATACTTGGGATGCTCAGCTCAAACTAGGAAAAAGCCACATCTACAGCCTGCAGCTGGAATGCTGGAAGCCAGCCCACAGCACTGGCTGTTTGAAAAGTTTGAGTGGCTGCTTACGAATCAGCTACACAAACAAGCAATGCTAGGAACAGTCACTTTCCTGATTTGTTTACTTTCTGCTTTCTACTAGGGAGGTTGAAAACATGATTGAGGCAGAGCGTCCATTGGTAAGTACCATCCTGGTCCTCTTTTGTGTACGAATAGAGGCAGGGAGAGGAGGAGCATGACATACAGAAAAACCTACAGCAGGAAATTATTTGCAACTACACAACAACTCCTTTATCACAAATTCCCATTTTTCCTCATCAAAACACTTTTATTGACACTTGCTTTGTATACACTAATTTCTGATTTGGTCAGACCAAAATCTTTTGCCAGATTCTGAAATCTCCTGGCATAAAGAAGCTGGATGCCAAGCATTGTCTTTGCCTCCATCAGTGGAGATGATTCATTTACCAGGGGAGGTCTAGCTCTGCGCCCTGAGATATTTTGTTGGTGAAATTGGCATCTCATTTAACAAAGAGAAAAGTACCTTATTTGAAGTACATGCTTTCAGGAAAGGAAGCCTAAAGGTACTGTGATTCAAACTAGCATCCATGACAAGCTCTAACTCTTCACCCTGGGGTTTTACACATCTTTGTAGGTATGATACCAAAGTTAACAATGCAATTAGTTTGAAAAAAACCCAAAACCAGAGGAAATGCTCTGGCACAGAATTGAGCTCCATCAAACCTTGCTGTTTGCTGTCATAGTAAAAATAACTGTCCAGATCTGGGGGAATTTAATTGCTACTTCAGATATCATTGATCTATGGACACAGAAGTCAATCCTCCACTGCACCAACAGGTTGGGAAAAAGAAGAAGAATAGTCAGAGCTAAAGCAGACAAAGCCCCAGATGAGATGGGACATAGTTTTGCTATGGTTTCTGCAATGTCTGTCCTTCAGTATGCTGTTTTCTGGTGGGTGCATGTTCCTTTATTTTTCGTGATTTGAAAGCTGTATGAATATAGAAATGAGAAAAATAAGCATGAGAAAGGGAAAGATAAAAAAATAAAACTTTACCATCAGCTCTGCATAATCAGATCAAATGTTTTCTAATTTTGTCTCTTTTCATACAGAAGATAAAGGGCAAGGTGGGTACTTGTGCAATGTGCTGAGTGCCAGCAAGGCAAAGAGCATGGCAATGCATGCAGCAGGAGCAGAGTTCCTTGGATTGATAATTCCTCTGCATCTGGAAACTGATCTAGTTAATGAAGGACACTGGATATGAGGCCATTGGCATGCAGCAAAGATGTTGTCTTCCTACATTAGATTCTAATGAAATAACATTAGCATCATATATACTTCTCTCATTCAAATGAGTGGCAAAAGGTTAACACAAAATTTTCAGCTTATCGGCATGATCTTCTGAGTTGCTCAAACTGACCTTCTTTCCTGCCCCTTCACAGGCAACCTGACACCCCTTTCTAGTGGAAAGCACCCTTTCTCCAGGCCCGTGCCCTGGAAACCATTTGCTTTCCATTGCTTAATGCAGCTACTCTGCCTTCCTGAAGTTTCTGCTCACCAAAGTCTGAGATTCTATTTTTGATTCTACACAACATATTTAGGACCTTGAAAATGTAATCAGACATTTTAATCTCAAGACAGGCTGATTGTAATTAATACTTTAGGGTAAAGCATTTGCATCTTGTATTGATGGATTGTTGATTGCTTGATGCAAATTGTATACATTTGCATCGAGTGGTTTTCCTCATTTTATATGCACTAAACCAGAACAACTGTACGTGGCTGCTTACAGCTGTGTGCTTCAAGCATCAGTATAAAGAAAGAACATATGCTTCACATAATTAACAAATACACCTTCTCTAAGATTCACATTGTTTGTTTTCAGTGCTACTGTCCTTCATAGAGAGGGGCAAGCTCATCCATTTAACTGATGAGAGTCTGGAAGGCTTATTTTCTTAAAACAGGGGAAAAAAAACCACAGGAAACCCTCCTTCCTCACCACAAAAAGAAAAAAAGCCCAAAAACCAAGCAACCGAACCCCCCCCAAACCTCAACAATCCCCCAAACTCAAACATGTTCAAGTAGTTTCTGGCTTTCTGAAAAGCCAGAAGCCAGAAAATGCACTATTTTGCAAAAAGACTTTTGCAGCATTTTTTTTTTTATAGCATGAGAAGGGCAGTAACTTCAGAAATTCCTCCACATTTTTATTCTTCCTCTTCTTTCATTCTAAGATCTTGCTTCTCTGCTCATGCCCTCAGGAATGGGAGCTGTTGCTGCATGCATTTTACCACAGAATGGTTGTCACCAAATATTTTCCCTTCCACTATTTCTTGTGTAATTTCCATTTCTCTTTTGCTCTCTTCCTTCTTCTTCTAGCCAATCATCTTTGTTTCTGACAGAGCAAACAGCAATAAGGAACTGACAGCAGATGAAGATGCTGGCAAAGATGGTGGAAAGAACCAAATAGATGTGAAAAAGGTTTCTGCAGCAAATGGCAAAGGGGGAAATAGAGCTTGGTTTGGCTAGCATGAAAGAGTGGCTGGGGAGAGCACAGGAATGGGGCAAAGAAGTGTTCTAAGATATTAAGCAGCTTTACATCAAATCTTCACATAACTTGCATCTGGTTTACGTGAATTTGATGAGCATGAGCAGACAGACACTATCCCTCTGGTTTTTAACACGTCAGCTGGAGGATTTAGTTTCTTGCAAGCATCTCCTGGTTGCTCTCTCATACAAGGATCCCAGCTGTGAGGGATCCCTTCCCCACAAGCAGTGCAGTTCAAATCACTCCTGCTCAGCCTTCTGAAGCAGTACCCACTTTACACAGGGAACATGCACAAATTGCACCCAAGGGACTTCAGAAGCTCCTGGCAATGATCACAGCCAGTACAAAATGATCCTCAGTACAAACTGTGCATCCCTATACTAGTCCCTGTTAACCAAAGGATAAAAGGACCACTAAACCCAGGAGCTCCAGTACCCCTCCTTGTTTTGCTCACTATCAGGGAGGAGAAAAGCAGAGCAGTGAATTCAGTTTCTGCCTGCAGGTGGGTGAGGAACAAGAGGTGTAACAACCAGACCCCACATCCAGGCTTGTGGCACCTGGAGGCATAGCTGGAGCATCTGCTCCCAGGGAGAGTGCTGTTCTGCTGCATGAGTGTGAGAGCAAGCAGATGGTAAAGAGGGACCGAATCTTAACTTTCCTCTGCATTTAGGCAAACAAAAACAAGAACTAAGCCAAGAAATTCACTTTATTTTGTTACATATACTTCCTTAGTTTCCTTTTTCAGTATCAGCCTCAGAGTTCAGGCTTGGCCTTTGCATCTGAGAGATGGAGGAAAAAGACCATGAAGCTTACGGGCTATTTGTCTCCAGCGAGGGCCCCCCACATTGTGAAGAGCTCTCAAGCCTGTGTCCCTCTGGTCATTCATAGCCCACATGGTGGCTATAAGGCAGAAATGGGGTCCCTGCACACAGCAGGGGTGTTGGAACTAGAGGTCTCTTCCAAACCTAACCATTCTATGATATGCCTTTTCTGCTCCAAACTTCTCTTTCTCAATGTTTTGAAACCAAAAACTGGAAGATAAACAATTGCCAGTGAAAGTAATCATTTAGGCTTATTCAAAGAGAAAACAGAGCAACGGGATGAAACTAAATACTTGGCAGTTTTAAGGAACACATTTAACCAAAAAAAGGGGAAAGGAACAGGAGAACGACCTGTTCCTCTAAAGGCCTCCAGATTCACTAAGATGTTCCCTTCATATGACAGCAAGTGAGCTGTCCAGGCCCTTTCCCTTCCCTACTGAGCTAAGGACATGTCTCTCTGTTGTTTGTCTCTTTTCAGCGTGCTTCAACAAAAGCTCCTGAGGAGAGTGAAGAGCAAATACAGTTCAGGAATATTTTCCGACAGATTGCAGGGGATGTGAGTATGCAATCGATCCCTGTCTCTGCCATCAAAGCAGCCCAGACACAACAGCACCTAAATCAACTGCTTCATGGATTCAAAACACTGAATATAAAAATTTGCTTGGAATTTCCTCCCATCAAATTCTCTTTGAGATCTGAAGATAAGTAAAATGAAATAGAAATCCCACTAAGTATACAGCTACCCTCATATTACGTGTAACCTATTCCCATTGTGTACAAGGCAGTCTTACTTAAATTCAGCCTGTCTCTTCTATCACTACTACAAGATGCTCTTTTGCACAGCATGTATTAACAATTTAGCAATTCAATGTCCTCTGCTATATGCCTAACAAGGGAAGTTAAAGGTAAAAACAAATCAAAGAACTGCATAAATCCAGAGGCTCTGAACGGGTTTACAGGAATTTTTGCATTTTGCTTTTTGACTTCTACACTGGATTGAAATTACTGGTTGTTCTTCTAGTTGTGGTTTAATAAGCATTACATGGTACCTTTAGGCCTACCTCGTACTGCAGCCTCAAGAAAGATTTGGAGTAATGTTTATATAAACTAGAACACTCTCTAGTTTGAAACACATATATACCATATTGAAAAGTGACCAAAGACTTCATACTTTTAACATATCCATCCATGAAATTATCTGCTTAGTAAGGAATTGTAATCAATTATATTCTCACCACATTTCCTAACAGGACATGGAGATCAATGCTGAAGAACTTAGGAATGTTCTCAATAACGTTGTAAAAAAACGTGAGTTTGAGCATGTTTTTTAGTAACCCTGGACAAAGAAATCTATGATATAGCATAACACCCCACACCTGAATTGCACTTTAAAAATTATTTATGGTTTCAAACTCATGAATTTCCTAGTTACACTTCCAGGGAGTTTGCATCCAAGGCTTTAGCATGCAGATGCCCTTTTCACAGATGATCTTGACAGGTGATAAAATACTGATAATGCAGAAATGAGCCAGTGTTCATTGGATACAACACAGGACAACATAGGACTTTTAGCAGTCTGAAAATGCCCTGTAAAAAAACCCCCTCCAATGCAGAGGCCCCTAATGGAGAGGCTGGCCTTCCTCCCAGTTTAACTAAATTTATCCTATTTATATATATATCCTAGGCTATATATATATATAAAATTTAGCCTAGGCTTGCTTAGTTTAGAGTTTTCCAGAGGTTTTTATTGCATATAATAGGTTGAGAAAAGTAATCTCTAATTCAAAAGCAATAACACTACTTAGAGCCTTTTCAGATTTCTCTACCACTCATTTCTTACTGGATGTAGGAAGTAGGTTTGGTTTCTACTTTGAGTAGAGTTACACCTGAGGAGAAAAGCACTTGCTGACTTGCATGATCTGTTTTCACCTGGGATCATTTATTTCAGATAAGGACCTAAAGACAGAGGGATTTGAACTGGAATCCTGCCGCAGCATGATTGCTTTGATGGATGTATCCTTTCCTGGTGAAAAAGGGGTGATGGAAACCATACTAATCCACTATTTCTCACCAACATACACACACACAACTTAATAAGCTAGGGAAGCAAAACAGCACACAGTAGTTAGTCTGTAGTCAGATAACACAACATTCTTGGTTTGGCACATCTTAATTCCAGCTATCTCAACATTAGTGTAGTAGGCAAATGAAAACATTGCAAAACAGAAATCTACAGAATAAATCAGTCAGTATGATACCCTTCCTTAGGTACCAGGGAGTGGCTGGCCCATGGACTAAAGAACGATTTTTTGATTTTGTTTTTTTAAACAAACCCAATGTAACTACAGTTTTTGCCAACAAATTTACTATATTTCTCTCTTTAAGTTTATAATATGTTATGCATTCTGCTGTATGCTCAGCATACAATGCAGACAGAAACAGTCTCAGAGTGAGTGTAATAAAGCACACTACAAGATGCCACATGGGGTTACTTCTGATACAACATCACTCAGTTTTTCTGTCTGACATAACACATGATTTTGAGAGAACAGAAGCACGTTCAAACATAACCAGAACAAAATTGTAACTACAACCCAGAGCCATAATTGTTGGAGCCTAAACACATTTTCGTAAATGGCTTTAGTCAATATTTTGCTTAGCTATCAATTCATTTTAAGCAAGACAGAAAGAGCTTCACTCGAGGGTAAAGCTCAGTTGTCTTAAAAAACATTGGGTGAGATTTACATTTGAAATTATTTCAGAAGAGCCCACTAAAACATCTTACTTGTGTACTTTATAACAGCTGCAGGAGCAAAGCTCTCTCCTGTACTGAAAGTTTGCTTCTACACAAAGTACAAGTAGTACTTCACACTCCTGAAACAATATGCTCTGCACAGTAACAGAAGTTTTACAAGTATTTTACTGCACAGCTCAGCCAACTCTTAATGATGAGCAGATCCTGAACTCACTTTCACATTCATCCCTTCACCAGGAGTTTCAGACTTAACTAATTTTCTCTTTAAAATATTGCGAGCTTTTTACCTGAATGTTTGCATCACAGACAGATGGCTCAGGGAAGATAAACTTTGATGAATTTCGACATCTCTGGAACAAGATTAAAAGTTGGCAGGTATTCCTAGAATCCACACTGCTCTTCTTCATAGTTTCTGCAGTGCAAAAGCTGTGTAGGAAAACCAGAACTCTCTACATATACTGCAGCAAAAAGCAGAGCTAAAAAAATAATTGCAAATTAGCCTGAAATATGGAAGTAATGTCTCTCTCTTCATCCTACTTCACAGCCTAAGCAAATAGCTCAAATCTCTGAAGCCCCAGCACTCATGTAGAACCTTCCCACATGAGAATAGCACAGAGGTATACAAGTTGAAGGAGGAGAATGATGGGAATTAGAATCAGGCCTCACATATAGCTTAATTACGCCAATCAAGGGAGAGGATTAACAGCATAAACTCAACTCAAACAATGAGAATCTCTATGGGAGAGCTTTTTTGCTTCTCACAGAATGGATCTAAATTATTTTACTTAGTGATTGAGAAGAACTCTGTGCTACCAACCCAGACTGCCCAGCAGCAATAATATAAGGCACATAGCAAAGACTCCAAGTGCCTGAGGCACACATCCCATATCCAGTCAGCAGGTACATTCAAGAGACATAAAAGATTTTATTTCTACTGTGTATTTGTTGTTTTTTTTTTCCAGAAAATTTTCAAGTGTTATGACACAGATCATTCAGGAACAATTAACAGCTATGAGATGCGCAACGCAGTCAATGATGCAGGTACTTTGCCCAATGCACAGTGTCCAACAGCTGAAGAAACCTTATTTTGCTTGATATATCTCAGGGTGAGATCAAGAACACAGTGGTGCTTTTTAAAGATAGACCCTAGAGAAATTATCAAATCATTTTCCCCCCAACAGAGCGTCTCATATAGCTAGATGTCAAGCCTTTTACTTCTTGCTAGTCAGATAGATCTCTTCAGCTCCATGTTAAACTTTCCAGTGAGAGATGTTCTGCTGTCTTAAGGATCTTCAGGGTCCTGCAGGTCAGGGAGACCAGGAGCTACTGAAGACATTTACTCCTACTTAAGCTGTGGATTCTTTATGTTTGTATAAGTAACAAACAAAGAAAAGTGCAAAACCTTCAACCCAAGTGTACAGGCACTGAAACTGAGATGGAGCAGGTCAGCACTCAAGTTTGCATCAGAGGCAATTGGATGGACATTTCTTGAGCCATGTTAATATTTCTTAGGCACTGAGCCACTGTGGTCTGTCTCTTCTACCTTTGCAGTTAGAAGAAAGTATTTTCGCAAAACTTGCAGTTAATGAAATTTATCCTGTAAAAAGAGACTTTTGACTTTTCTTGCTTGTCTCAGGTACACCAGTGTGCTTCTTTCCCTGGACAGCAGGCCTCCCCCTGCAAATGTCTAAGGGAGCAAGATGACCTCTTTAATCACAAAATCTGTAGTATTACTTAGCTGGGATTATTTTGGTGGTACTTTGTTTTCAGTACTATTTTGGTACATCAAGAAACAGAAGGCTATCTATCTTGTACTTTCCAAAATATCAGTGCCACAGTTCAGTCACATTATGCCAAGGGGTTGCCCCCTTGTCTATTTTTTGACCATTGCATAATTGTGTTTTCATAGCAGCTTCCTCCTGTGTTTCTGTTGCCCAGTTTTAGTTGACTTGCTCTCACCAGGCCCAGCTGAGCAGCAAACTCTTTGGTGTCTGCTGCTCTGCTCTTCATACTTACAGCCTGACATAATTCACATACTACTGCCGCCCCCAAATCATAATTTCAGAATGTTACTTGTTTTAAGAAAGCAGCTGGACATAGTGAAGCTCCTTATAGCTTTACTTCATTTTGTCTAGCAGCTGCAGCAGGACCTTCCAGCCTGAGCCTTGGCTGGGCCTAAGAAGTGCCTATGGCCAAACCACTCCTGGACCAACGCTGCCCCCAGCCATGGCCCAGCTGTGCCCCATTTTTGCTCCTCTGCAGGGTTTCGGCTGAACAACCAGCTTTACGACATCATCACCATGCGCTACGCCGACAAGAACATGAACATTGACTTTGACAGCTTCATCTGCTGCTTTGTGCGTCTGGACGCCATGTTCCGTGAGTGGCTGCCCCAGTTCTATGGTGCTGCCTCCCTCCTCCCTTGCAAACAGTCATAGAATCATGGAATAGTCTGGATTGGAAGAGACCTTAAAGATCACCAGTTCCAATCCTGCTGCTCTCACTAGACCACGTTGCTCAGAGCCCCACCATGCTCACAGCAGTCTGGGGAATCTAAAATATGACAGCTGTCCCATACAAACACAAAAGAAACCACTGTGTTTCTCCTTGAATTAGCTAAGGAAAAACACAGCAGAAACACTTGCTGACCACATCAGTAAATACTTGCACAAGTTTGCCTATCACAACAGGAACACTGTTTGGTTTGCTCTCTGGGAATCATCTTTATACACACAGTTATTTAATATACCTCCATATTTTTTTGTTCCCTTGCTTTTAGGGGCATTCCACGCCTTTGATAAAGATGGAGATGGCATCATTAAGCTCAATGTCCTGGAGGTAAACTGCTTTATGTCAGTATTTCTAACAATGTCACAATTGTATTATTCATGGTACATGTTCTCAAGGGAACCTATGAGAGTTCATCTGAAATTGTCACCTCATTAGTAAGAGATTGCAAAACCTCCTAAAAGCTGTGCTACCAATTTTACACAGAACATGTTCATGATCTGCCAGGAAGATTGTAAGTCTGTAAGACTCCAGTTGGTGCTGAATGGCACAGCTGCAGACTCTTCATTTCATCTTTAATGTCCTTCAAAAAACTTTTGAGCTTTTTTTTATGAGGCAACTTAAATTAAACACTGATATGGCATTAGCTGATAATGGGGTTTAACATAGTTCTTTACTTCCCAAATAACTTATTAAGAAGCATTAGAAAGTTTCAACTTAAAAACTTGTCCTCTGCTAGGGAGACCATCAAAACCCTTCACTTTTGGCAAGGGAAGGAGCAATAGGAGCAAGAGGCTCAAGAAAAAAATCCTCCACTGCCACTATGCTTCATACTAAGTGAGAGCAAGCTTCCAGCTGGAGATGGTGGCGTCTCAATACAATTTGTTGGAGGATGCCAACAACTATTCCATCTTTTTAATTCTAACTCTTCTTTCAGTGGCTGCAGCTCACAATGTATGCGTAACACTGGAGCCAGTGGCCACCTTCACCAAGAACACACTCAAGACTTCGGTTTGAGTAACCAGCTCCATCCATCCCAAGGCCAAACAAGAGCATTTCCTGATTATGTGATTCACTCGCCAAGATCAACAGCACACAGAAGTTCTCTAGCAGGCAGAGCAGTGAGCATATTCTGTAACTAATTTTATGCCATCCTGGCATTTTTCCTTTGGGCAATGATTAATTTATTGATGACTGAATTAAGCTTTCTCTGCATAGTAAAGACACAGAACATATGTGGTTATTCTGCTTGTGCTGACAACTGGAAAAGGCTTCCCTCAGGTCAGGCAAAACTGGAACCATAACTCACTGTGAAAAGTCAGGGGTGTTTACCACCACCTTGTTTGTAATTAGTCATTAACTCTTGGTCCTGCTTTTGGTATTATCCCTTCAGTCTCTTTGTAATGTTTACTGAATATTTCAAATGAAATTGTTAATTACATTAACATTATGCATCCCAATCACATGGTTATAGGTTTGGCTGTGCAGGTTGGATCTCTGCTATGATAGAAATGTGAAAGTAAGGCATGATAGGCTGCAATACCATAGTACAGCTTGGTCTAGTGCCTCAGCAAAAGTATCAGAACTGAGCAATTTGTTCTCATTTTTGGTACCCCCATAGGATCTTAATTACACATTTGGACATTTTAAGTGGTTTTCATTGTAACTGCATTCTCCACAACACTGAGAAACTTGTTTCCCACTTGAGGCAGAAAACCTCTTATACACACAAATCTATTTATCTACACACATACTTCCCATTATCGCCCCCAGGGTCCCATTTCCTAGCAGTACTGTGTATTTTTTTATTGTGAGAGGTGACCTGTAGCAGAATCAGACACTATGTTAGCATGACCACTTTGGGAAGATTATTACAATGTGCCAGTGCAACTAGTTTAATTGAACCGAAAATAAAATCAACTAGATTTTGTCCTAAGATTTAGAGCTGTTTTTTTGGTTTTTAATTTGAAACATTGAGCACTCTTCCATCATTCTCCTGAATATACAGCAGCTTTTGGAGTTTTATGGCAAGTGTGAAACCAGCTTAATAACCTCAAACATTTTGCCAGTTTGCCCCTTGAATGCATTAAAACAAAAACAAAAGAAAAAAGCCACCACACCAAACACTCGAGAGGTTCCCTCGTTCCATTTAAAGGCTGACAGGCTCTCAGAAGTGGCCAATCCTTGTTCAATATAAAAAGGGAAGGAGAAACAAAATGTGCAAGAAATGCCAGACTTTGTCAGAACCTTCCACTTAGTTCTCTAGCAGTGAAAAGCAGCAAAGCAATCCACTATAGGAAAGCAAAATACAAAAAAAACCTCATCACTTCCATTCGAAGTTATCCTGGTGAGTAGCAGTTAACTGAAAGGTCACTAAGAAACAAAAGATCTTTTGACTATAAAGTTCTTAATATTGTCTTGCACTGTAACTTACTCTGAAAGAGTAAGAAAATCCTATAGTTTATCAGAAAAAGTTATTCTCCTTGAAATTCAACTTTTGTTTTAAACCATATCATTTTTAAGAACACCTGCAGCCCTGGCTTCCAGCCATGCCTCATTTCCCCTAAGCTGTTAGCTCCACTAATATATTCTTTTCCACAAGAAATGTATGGCAGAAATGATCTTAGCTGGGATGTTCAGAGAAAAACAAAATCTATCAGCCAAAAGATCAAAATCAGGACTTTGAACTGGCAACTCAAAAACTGGTCCTTAAAGTCCTGGTGAGTGAACTACCAACAGCTCTAGAGAATCTCCCTTGCAATGGGCCATGAAGCAAGGCAGTCAGTACATCAACTTGGAGGCACCAGCTGTGCAGACAGTTTCCATTTTCCCTGCCAAACAACCAGGTCTGTGATTTCCACAGACTGGGAGCAAAAGTTTCCAACATTCCTGCCAGTGCTGGAGCTTCGAAGTGGCCTGTCTGATTTTATTCAGCTTTTAAAATAGAAAAAAAAATCCAGAACAAACTTAAGTGCTCCCAAATGCTGTGAAAGAATCATTTCTATTTGAAACAAACAAGAATCAGACTGACAAACCATAACAATATAAAGAACTTTATTTTTTTCTCTTCTTTTTTCTTCTTTTTTTTTCCATGTAAAGTTTCATTATTACACTCACAGCTTTGTACCAAAAAGTGAGAGAAGAAAACCATGGTCAATCTGTGCATATGTTCTATACAGCTTAAATTATTAAATATTCCATCATGTTGTTCTATTCCACCTCCAGTCTTCAAAAAGACTGTTTAACATGAAAGCAAAATGAAATTTGAGAAGCTGGCAGGCTCATATAACAATATATACCTACACAGTTGGCTCTTTGAAGACTTAATTATTTTACAAACAGCAACTCAAACCGTTTCCTTATCTTTCCTCGCATATTCTGCAACTCTGGCAACTTATGACTGAGTCATAGTGTCATACAAGCCTGAAAACAAAGATTCACCTGTACCTGTGTTTTAACGGAAAATATTTACCCAACAAAAACATTTTCCCTTCCATTTATTGCAAATTTGCAGTTATCATTTACCTTGCTCTGGCACGACTGTACAGTTTGAAAACGTGCATTAAGAACTGCACTACTTCAAACACAGCACACAGCCAAGCTCCTGCTGTTCTGCAGAAGTCAGTTTATGTGCTGATAGTGCTCACACTACGTAACCTACACGTAGGTGACACGAGGCAAGCAGAAGCTGGGATACTTCATGCATCTCTGTACCAACGAATGCAGGAGTTTTCTCTCCACTCTCTTCCACGTACAGAAGCAGCAGTGTTAGGTCAGGGAGTATTTTGCACTGCCAGATAGATAGCTGTTATTTTTCCCTGCAATTTGAAGAAAGGAGCAATGAATACAGACCAATCGCAAAAGGCCCCCAAAGGGCCTGCCATGTGTAGTCAGCCATAGAGCAAGTCCAGAACCTCTTAATTTAATATTTGACTAATAAAAAACTCACAGCTAACCACAAGATAAACCCTTACTCTACTCACTCTTCCACCCACAACTTTTTACTTGCATAAAAACCAAACTGAAAACGAAAATAAATAATCCTGAATCTGGCTTCAGGTGTGCATTACTGATTTTCATGCAAATATTACTCTTAAATTTCACAAATAGTCCAACTTCCCAAAGTCACTACACTCTTCAACCAGAGGTGTATAACGAGTCAAAAAACCTAAGCTGCAAGACCAAAAAGTTTCTCATTAATGGCTACACAGCCGATACATTAGTTTGACATCTCTCTTCTGTAACTGTCTCCAGAAGAAGTGAACAACCACTAGTGATATCTGCACCAAATTCTAGCTGAACAAATAGGAAACCTCCTCACAGAACTCCAGAGAAGCCTGGGGATTTCCACAGCTACACCACTTCATAGCAGATCCTTTTTAGACGTCCTCATGACAAAGCAGCACAACACTTTTTTCTGAACTCCTGAGAATCTTTTAAAATTGTTTTTAATTTATGAAGCAAAATTTTTCACTCATGCAGCTTGCAGTTTTCACACCTCTTATCCATTTTAAGATTCCTACAATATATCTGAAATGATCTACAAAGTAGCAAAAGACATCACTGCAAAAGTTGGACTTCAGAAGCCCAGACTTTTCAGGAAGACTGTTTCCAAGGTCAGATTAGGAAATACCATGGACTACAGAAAAAAAACCACGACTGCTTTCACCAACTAGAAAAGATAAACCCAACAAACAATTGGGAATGCAAATAAAGTGTAATAACTGTGTTTGTTGCAACATCTAGTGAGAAAGATCTTTATGCATTCCTGAAAACAGCTGAAAGAACATGATGAAACACAAGGAAGAAGTGAAAAAAAAAAATAAATCTACTTTTACATCATTTTTCAAAATGCTACTATCATCCCACAGACTTGTGCTTGGGACACACCTCCACTTCAACCAGAGTCCATCAAGGACAGCTTGAGACATCCACATTGTTTCTGCCACACTTACATGCTCCCTCATTGTGGGTCAAAAAACTCACAGAGGAACACTTGATTATTAACACTTTTGGAAATGGTGGAAGTATTACAGAGTCTTCTGCTTTTAGGTCATGAAAAAACCCAAACAAACGCTCTCTGAGACTTTAGAGCATTATAGCCTCCATCAGAAAACATTTACCCTACTTAAAGATTTCCCTGAACTTGATTCTCTATTGAATTGCTTCATCCACAGACCACAGAAAGCAAAAAAGAGAAAAAAACCCCAACACCAAAAACCACAAACACACACCCCCAAAACCAAAATAACAACACCCTCAAAACATCCTGGGGTCTGAGCCACATACTGGGGCTTCTTCCTATCCACAAACAGCTTAATAAAAACCTCCCAAACAAATCACCACAAAAGCACTCACTATGTCTTTCAAGTAGGATGCTACTTCTCATATTTTACTCCTGTCTCACAAAAAAACTGCAAACATCAATGTCACACAATTACAGAGAAATTATTCTTGTCTGCTAAGACAATACAAACCATTGTGCTTCAGAGAAAGCTCTGGAGTTCCTCGAATTGATGGCAGTGGAACATCCATGAGCTTTTCTCGATCACATTCTTGGCCTAAAAAGGCTTCTTTATAGTCAATGAATGAGGTTATAAAGCTTATTCGGTCTATGGTTGGCAAGTCTCAAAGTAGCAGAGAAAGAGATGCCTGCTAAAAATAGTACATGTGAATTTTTTTTTTAAAGCACTGGATTTATTTATAAGCAGCTCAGTTTTCACTCTGGGCTGTCCTCACCTTCTGTTAAGGAAACAACTGCCTGTTTTACCCTGAGCAGCAAGTTAGGCAAAAGTGAACACAAAGCTCCTTGCCAGATTAGTCTCATTGTCTAAGAAGGTTCTTTGCTACATTAGTGTCATTACAGGAGAAAGGACTGCAAGTGCAAGAACTATGTTTCACTGAACTTAATGGGTAAAGTGTTTCCCTCAAGGGACACCTGCAGAGGAATCCTGAGAAGAACAGTTTTCCCTTCTGCACTGGCTTCTCTGTGGTACCTTCTGTGCATTAGTAGAAACAAGACCTTTTCATGTGATATGCATTTTGTATCCTCAGCTTCTGCTTGAGAACTTGAGACTTCAAAATCCTTTAAAATTCTGCTCCATTCTTTCCAGTTGAATTTTTGTGAACTTGACATAATCCAAGCCAATGAAGTCAGTTCACAACAGAAACAAAACACTGCCTAAGTGGATGCACTTAGGCAGTGCCTTTGTATTTCTTTCAGTTTGCTATGCCATGAAGATAAGGGACTGCAAAGCTCAGCCACTAAGACTCCCTGCAAAATCAGGAATCCAGCTACGGTTTCCTATCAATATAGCAGTGGTTATGCTGGTCTTTAACTAAACCAAAAACAGACACCACTTACTTCTCTCCAATACATAAAGGCCTATATTTAAAAGACTAAGACTACAAAGCATGTGAGTGGAGCTATGTTCTGGCTGGTTTGCTGCTAGGGCATACCCCTCAAGAAATAACTGCTTGCCTGCAAATGAACAAAATACCTCAGGAGGCATGACATTAAAGACACTCTGTCACTATTGTGTTGGCACTATTGTGCCAGTTATAGCAATTTTTACACAAGGAGTAAAAAATAAATTACAATTAACATTAAAAAAAGTAATTTATTCCCATCTCCATAAAATATCTTTTTTTTTTATGAAGAAAGTAAAAATGTACACTGGTTATTCGGGTTACACTGTAAGAATTTGTGATATTTTGGTTTGCAGAATTTTATTAAAATCAGCTAAAAACATGGATACAACATAAAAACAGATATGTCTTACAAACACCAGGAACTATTGTAATTAAGTTCTCAACATCCCTCTGGATTTCCCAAAGACTTTGCTTCTTATAAAAACAAGCTAAACAAAAATACACCAGAAAAAAAAACCAAAAAACCAAGGCAGACAAGAGGAGGGAACACTCTTATTCTTGTCTGTCAATGATGAAAAAGTTGCAAGAATCTGGGCTAAATCTTAACTGATCAGCCTTATTTCTACAGAGTGCAACACAACTTGCAGTCTCCATGGCAATGCATTTCACCCCTACTCAGTTTTTTCATTCCAAGTGGTAAAAGAAAGAGGAAAGACTGGACTAAGAAACTGACATTGTTTGGAGTATTTCTGACATATAAAATTACTTCCCAATGTGGGAGGTGAAAAGCTTCATGAGTCAATCCTGCTGTCATCCTCGGCATGTCTTTCAATGTGTCCTACAGCATCCTAGAAAAGAATCAGAGAAGTCAATTTAAAAAAACAAAAAATCATCATCACAAAAAAAAAACCCATGAGAAGTTTTGCAAAAGATTCTTGAAGCCTCAGAGAAAGCAACATTCTGGATAATATATATTTTTTTGGCTTAAAGCTTCTAAAAAATATAAACTATTAAATCACATATATAAATTATTTCATACACTGGATGATTCAAGGCAGATAAAAACCAGCTTCCTTTCTGACTAGAAGATCAAATCAAATAGACACATCATATCCAAAGCCAGTGCTTAAAGAGAAATTAAAGATTCTGCTTCTGTTTCTTAGTTTGCGAAGAAACCTCCCTCCTTTGCATATTTTGGAAAGCATTCAAAGGAAGGTAGTTAAATTGCCAAGGAGTAAATGTGAATTTTGCTAATCAATCTATAGGTAACAGCCCTTGTTATACGTATCCCCCCCAGTACTTTTTCACATCACTTAATCCAACTTTTATGCCTTCTTCACTTTTTCCCATCTTTGTTAACTTTTACTCAGAAATTTATGCACTACTTATTTAAAGACTGGTAGCAAAACCAGTCCCATGTGAAAAATTAACAGCTTCAGCATCCAGAACAACAAAGGAGGGTAGCGACGGATATAAACCTGTTTCAAGACAGATTTTTGTTCATCTTCAAAGTTGGGTTCAACTTTTATGCCTTCTTCACTTTTTCCCATCTTTGTTAACTTTTACTCAGAAATTTATGCACTACTTATTTAAAGACTGGTAGCAAAACCAGTCCCATGTGAAAAATTAACAGCTTCAGCATCCAGAACAACAAAGGAGGGTAGCGACGGATATAAACCTGTTTCAAGACAGATTTTTGTTCATCTTCAAAGTTGGGTTGGGTTAATCAGAAAATCTTCTAATATTTCAAGAATTTTACCATTTCATTTTAGGATCAAACTGCTTTAAATAGATAATATATCAAGTTAGCACAGCTGCACTCTTCATCTGTCACAGGCTGAATTGAACCCTGTTAGCCTTGAAACCGTAAGCAGTTACACCTGTCCAGACTAGAAAAATTTAACCCTCTTTCAGAGAAATAGGATCAAGTCCCACAATTGTGGTGATATAAAGTACATCATATTATCAAATACAACTATGCTAGTCCAACCACAAACCTGCTTGGAACCTTTCCTGGAAGTAAAGAAAGCATCACAGTTCTTCCAACGACATTTCAGGGTCTGAAAATTTGGGTTGGTGTGGTCAGTTAGCAGGTGTTGTTTCAGATGGTCTACAACTCCAAAGATCAGTGAACATCCATGCCACTGGCAGAAAAAACACCAGAGTAAGCCAGGGAAATAGAATTTTAGCTACTGCTTTTCTTGCAACTTCACAATATTCTTCTGACACTGTTAACACACATGTTCGCATCTAAGTTTTTAATCTTCTTATTCCATTTCCATTTTCAATGGTCTATATTACTTTAATTACAGCTTTACAGAAACTCTTCCTGCCTCTAGCCAAGCCTGTCCAGCAGTAATGCCAGGTGGAAGACACAAACAAGCCTTTACAAGCTTTAAGCTTAGTGTGACAGAGTCATTTAAAATTTAATTAATCTTTTTTAGCAGAGTAAATCAGCTTTTCTGTGTCATTCAGCTGAAGTTTTTGGCTTTTAATAGTTACATGTCACTATCGAAAAAAAAACGCCAGAAAGAAAAATTTAAGATGCTACTATCAATTTACCCCAAAGCATATACATACACACACTAAAGACAATGAAAAATGGAACTAGTGATATATACCTACGTTTTATAAGTACATACACATTTTGTAAAAAATTATTGAACTATAATAAAGGTCAAGTGATTCGAGACTGAGTAGGGACCACCCCCAGAAAATTAGGCTAAAAACTGTAACACAAAGGAAGGGTAAAAACATTTTGCTTATTACCCAGCAACGATAATTTTGCATCAGATTAAGCCTCACAGCTCTGACACTGCCATCATAGCATCCAGTGTAGATCTGTAAAGGAAACATTTATGGATAAACAAGCTAGGAATAAATGCAAAAAAAAAAAAAAAAAAGGAAGTAAACTTCTAAAGGAGGCTTCAGTGTAGGGTGTATTAGGTCAAAACAATAAAATATCCACATGCAAGGCTTGTAACCTAATGATTCTAAGATTTGCGTTCATAGTTTACAAAACCTACTCATGAATAAGAAATGCTTCCATAACCTCTATTGTTGATAATGTCATGTGTGGAACAGTTCAGAAAACTTCAAAAAATAATGCACTAAATATATCCAGTATATTCAATATAAAATACATTCACTAAAGTTTAAAAAAATTTAGGTGTAAGCGGCAAGTTGAATATATTTTCGTGGCTTAACCAGTTATATGTATCAAAAAACAGGATGGAGAGGAAGGGTGAGAAGGAACATTAGAATTTCAGAGAGAGAAGACTGATGCAGAACCTGAAGAGGAAGGCAAATTGACATCTTAAACCCCACTTTTGTTAGGCACAATTTTGTGGATCCACACAAAATTATCCTTTTAAAAGAAAAGGATGTCAGACATTTATAATCCCATAATGAATATTTATTGTTAAAAAAAGTCCTCACATAATACAGAAAACTCTGCAAGCTAAAGATGCTATTTGTTACTTTTATTCAAGTCTTTTCATCTCTTGGAAACTGGCCACTGGGATACAACAGCCAATCTGCTGTGTGTAAGAGACTACACTTCACTACTAAGACTGCTACAGAAAATTCTAATCTTTCACTCATCGCTAAGCTTCTCACCTGAACACTTCTTGGATTTGAGAACGCCCACAACAGACTACTGCTGGGGGACAGTTCAAGCCTCACATTGACCTCACGTGAGATTGATGCCTGGGCAGTATGTATTCCAATTAGTAGGAAATCAGTTCTGTTGGACTTGACTTTTCTGTCATCACAGATCACTACTACATTAAACCATGACAACCTCTTTATTTTACAATTGCAAACAAACTTTGCAAACAACCTCCTACACACACAGATAAATAGAAGTGCTTCTGAAATTTATCCTGCAGGGCAGATGCACAAAGAAATCTGTGCACCTAAATCAACTGCATACTCTCATTTATGTTGTATCAAAGGTTACTAGAGGTTTGGGTGTAGGTGAAGTTTTTCTCTGGCACCTGTGTGATTTCTGTAAGTAGAAGTCAAACAGTATTGATGCTTGAAAAAGACAGAGTACTTTACTATTTCTGGACTCTTCATTGCAATCATCACTGTAAACAGAACTATTGTTTTAAGACTACAGTAAGCTAAAAGGCAATTTTTCCTCCGAATATAATATTAAATAAATATAAAGCTGTTATAGCAACTTGATTTTTTGGCTGACATTTCCAAGTTGTTCTTAGTCAAACAGGAGGTTGATTTCATTATCTTAAAAAAATTAAACTGTCTTGTATATGCCTGTGGAAATTACAACCTTCTGTAAGACCAGTGAAAAGAAGGAAGTTACCATGCTCTTATGGATGGTCATACACATGATCATATCTGTGTGTCCTCCATAGACTTGCAAGCGGTCGTGTGACTTGAAAGAAACAGAAACAGACATTTAATAGTATGACAGTTAATAGCCATTTTTCACAGACATGCAAACGACAATGCTTCCAAGAGCAGTTTCCTGGGCAGCAACTGAACTCCTCTGGTGAATTCCAAACTTGATACCCACTTTGAAAGCTCACTTTTGCTTACATTACTTCTGTGGAGCCTTTTTGTCCACCTAAGCACTTGGCCTTTCAGCAGACAAAACTAACATGCCCCCATTTTTCTGAGGTGTCATTGTCTTAGGATAACCCAGGTTCTAAAAAAATGGGTTAGATTATGTTCTTTAAAACCCATGTATTTTGGCTGGTGAGACAAGGATATTTTCTGAGTGACAAGAAAGAGAGGAATGGGCCAGAGACCAATAAGCACAAAGACGACTTCGATATGACTTCAAAATACTTAATTAACATATACAAGGTAGATGTCATTAGCAACCATCTATTTTCTTACCTGTAGTTCATAAACACGAACAAATTTATCCAGACATGCTGTCACCATCACTTTCCCAAGAATGTTCACAACCGTTACTGCATGGTTATGGCCCTTATAGATTCGTACTAGCTCTCCAGTCTGACTCAAGAAAAAGCAAAGGTAAATAAATAGGTGGTTGGTTTGGTTTTTCTTATAGAACAAAACAATTTTACCTAATCTAGACAGGGTAGCTAGCTTCAGTGCTCACTACTCAAAATGAAAACAGACTTCATTAGACTTCCATTTCCTGTGAAGGCACATTATGATCTAATACTAGTTACCCTTCTGTTTGCCCATCTTAACACAGAGCTCTTCCAGTACAATAGAAATGCAGAGACTATGAAAAGTTCTATTTCTTTTCTCTTCCTCTACTTCCCTTTACATCATTAGTTACATATTCCCACCCATCCTGCCACTTGTACTGTGCTATTAGTATGAGCAGTATCTATGTAGCCAGAGGGATCAGTGAGAAAATTTAGCTAAATACATAGAAATACATGTTTTTTTTGTCAATTAAGATTTACCTCTGACAAGTTCTAACCTACTGCACAGCGATATGAATGCTTCTGCTAAGACTGGGAAAAGATGGTGTAAAAGAGGAAGAGAGCAGCAGGCTAGAGACAAAGCATTCGAAAGAGTGTAACAGCTTTTGAACCATCTACTTTGGAACACTGTGAACCTCAAGTTCTTCCTGT